ATCCTAGTCATGCACATAGTTTAAGCATGATCCCCAAGTCGCCCATGTACCATAATACATGAGCAACACGATTGCTGCACCTAAGATGCATTGCTCCCTCCTCTCTCTCGTCTACAATCACCTTCGTTGATCTTTTCGAAACTGCGTGGTTTGAGAGAGAGGATTTCCTTGAGTTGACAACAAGGGAATGGAACTCAGAATAAAGGGGTGATTTGAATGTCGAAAGATGGCAATATAAGATTAGACATCTGGGACAGTTTTTGAGGGGTTGGGCCAAGAACAATAGTTTATATATAGACAGCAGAAAGAGAGGCTGCTTAATATCATTGACGGTCTTGATATAAAAGCTGAATGTAAATTGCTGGACATTAACGAGCGAGTGACTAAAATAGAAGCCGAGGTCAGTCTGGCGAAGCTTCTTAGAGAAGAAGAGATCAAATGGGCATTATGTAAGAAAGTAAGATGAGCCAGACTTGTGTTTTTCTTTGTTGGCTGGTAGGTGTGGAAGCGTGCCAAATGACATGACTGGTGATAGTTATTTTCATACATAAGAAAAAGAATGGATTGGTTTCCTGGCTGGCGGCTTACCTATGCTTTGTTTGTCACACAAGTGTTGAATATTGAGTTTTGTTGATCCACGTATTTTGCATGTTTTTCTATGGATTCAGGGGCGGACATTTAAGGATCATGATTATGGACTGGGACAAATGGGGTAGGGGGGTAGGGGTCATTGTCCGTGAACGTATAGGGCCCCAAATTAGGCAATCATGGTTGTTTTAGATGCTCTTACATGCTCAAATACTGGACGAAGGATTACCAAGCATTTATTATTGGCAGCGTCATGTTTCAATCAAGAAAATATTATTAGCGTTGCTATGTATAGCTGAGTTATGCCAAGTTTTCACCCGCAAAAAGAAGAGAGCTATGCCAAGTTTTCTGGTTAGTAATTGGAGCATTAAACTAGGGAAACAAGAAGTGGCATGCGTGTATAAACAAATGCTCGAGCTGAGCTTGCGTTGGGCACAATTATAGATAACCAGAATAAGTCTGTGTTTTACTTGATTTTTAGAACATCCACTTGATGCAGCGAGCTGAGGCACATGCAAGGAAAGAGTTGGGGATGCTTTGTGATGTATTCCCTCCGTTCGGAATTACTTGTCACGGAAATGAATAAAATTGAATGTATCTAGAACTACAATATGTCTAGATACATTCATTACTTCAACAAGTACTTTCGAACGGAGAGAGTAATTAGGTGCTCCTACTCCGTAGTGCTCTGCTTACACAAGTAGGCATTGTGCTACCGAATTTAGGATTACCATCTGTTATAGCTTTGTGTGCTTTCCTTGCTTACAGAGAAGTTTACATACCCGTGTGCAGTTAAAATCGATTATGACTGAAACAATTAGAAAATTGGTTTCGAGTGAATATTTGCTACCCCAGATCCTTTATGGCTGTATATACAGTATCTGAACTAGCGCCACTAGATGTGCTGTGACACTACTAACTGTTAGGGAAAGAGCAGACCGCGTCACGCGCATGCATTGACAATGTGGATCCCTAACGTGTACCAGTTGGCCACTATACCCGCGTGCTGCATGCCCTAGATCTGGACCCCAAGCAAATTTGCTTTCAATAATAATAAATTTCCAATTTTTTTAACATAGTACAGACGCAAGCGCTCATATACATGTGCATACACTCATCCTATAAATGCATACCCGCACAACTTACCCCTATGAGCACCTCCGAGAGACTGAGCCGGCATATCATCTTGAAATTTACGAAGTCACCGTAAGCACCTCGTCGTCGACGGGAAACTCTCCTCCCACTGAATGCGCATCACCGAAAATCCTGAAATAAATTCAGGAATAAATGCGAGCACCAGGATTTGAACTCTGATGGGCTGGGGATACCACTGTCCCTCTAACCACCCAACCACAGTTTGGTTCGCATAAAATTTCCAATCTTACTCAGCGATGTTTCAGTGTGCTTGTCAGTGCTAGTCGATAACAAAACTTTTTCACATTAGTTGAATAGTAGTACTGGTATATAAGTGGTTTCAAAAAAACAAATGATGTGTATATATTAACAAAAAATTAATGGAGGAAAGAATAATCCAATTAGATACCATGAAATGCAATATACTACCTTTGTCCTGGTTTATTAGTCTCCTTTGTAATCTGTGCCAAATTTTGACCAAAGATTTAACTAACAAAATGTTAATGCACGTCAACAAAAATTATATCGTTGTATTCGTCTTTGAACGTAGTTTCTAATGATATAATCTCTAGTGACATGCATGAACATTTTGTTATTTAAATCTATGGTCAATATTTGGTAACAAATACAATGGGAACCTATAAACCAGAACAGATGTAGCACTAGCAGAAAACAGGGCTTTGGTCCAGGTCTGAAGAGGGCATTAATCCCGGTTCTCATACGAATCGGGACCAATGGGAGCATTAGTCCCGGTACATGAGGCCAGGGGAGCGGCAGGGCTTTGGGGGCCATTGATCCCGGTTCGTCTGACCCCTTTGGTCCTTTGACCCCTTTGATTTATCTCGATGTATGGATCAAGTGAAGGGCCACTTGTTGCTCTATTTTTAGTATACAAGATCAAGTGCACTGTATGGAGTCACAATAGACAAAATGGCAACTGGAAGCATGGCTGTCACGCGGGCTTGTTTAGTAGTACTCCCTAGATACATATTTTCTGGAAAAAAATGATACGTTGTTTCTATATACGTTGTTTCTATATATTTTTTGAGCAATTCGTCTAGTTTATCCTATGAGCTGGGTGGATCTAGGCACTAATTCTTTGTGTACTCAACGCATCGTTTCTCGGCCAGGAGGGCTGGGCCGAGGACCCCATACCGATTCACTAATGGGCCACTACGGACAGCCGATGACATATACAAGGAAAATCTCAAAAGACTTGGCGCACAAGACAAGGACTCTTTAAATCCCAGACTTCCGGTGTATAGTATTATATAAACCAAGGCTAAGCTAGTCAATAGATCAACATATATTTGTTAGACTCTCATACAATAATCTCATGGCATATAACTATACACTGTATACATACATTCAAAAGCAGTGTGTTATCTCACTTGAACCAATTACGTCATGAATGTGGCCATAAGATTGATCTTATATTTGTTAGAATCTCATACAATAATCTCATGGCATATAACTATACACTAATACAAACAACCGTATATGTCAGTAAGTAGTTGTATAAGGACTATCATATGTATTCACTTTCCACTACTTACTTTGCTCGAGCTGTCATTATAAGATGCATCGATATCGTTTTCGTCATTGGCATCATCGGAAAAATTCCACTGATAGTACCCTTCCACTTCCATCTGCGCAAATTGTAAATATGATATGTAAGACTTGATGCGTATTTAATTTCACTTTAAAATAACCTACATAAATCTAAACCTATATGGCTTCCGCTTTCAGCATATGAATCATCTACATCCATATCTTCATTGTCATCATCCCCTCCTATCTGTGCACAGTCAAACATGTTATTGTCATCACGTATGCTTGTATTTAATATGGTTGAGAACATGCTGACCACTTACATTGCCACTGTAAGACTCATCCAAACTCATAAATTTTCGCCGTCATGTTCGTCTTCATCCAATGACAATGATCCGTCCTCGCTACCGCCATCATCACCGTCATATCCTATTTCAGCCTCAATTTATACACGTTCATATATAATTAAGTATCCATTCAAACATCACGTAACATCTTCTCAATTAAAATTCGTTCTTAAATTACTATGTCAGCGCCTCGCATACCTCGTTGCCTTCGTCAGACATGAGGCGGTTGTCGCCGGATACGAGCTGACAGCGGTGGAGGCGTCTGCCCGACCAAGGCGGTTGTCGGCGTAGCGCACAACGCATACATTTTTTTCATCGGCCAGGTACTGCCGGAGATGGCGGCGGCGGCGCGAGAGGAGGCGGGTGAGGCGTCTTGAGGATAGGGTTCGCCTTTTTTAATCACTCGGGCGTGCATGCGGACGTGGGCGCGTACGGGCGGACGTAGGCGCGTACGGGCGGACGTGGGCGCGTACGGGCGGCCGT